ATATTAAATAATTAATATTAAATAAATAATTAATTTTAATATTTATTATATATTATAATTATTTAATATTAAATAATAATCATACAATTTGTCACAGAATTATCCTGGAAAATGATTTTAATATAGAATTTAAAATGATCTACATCATATAATAAAATTTTTTTTTCATATAAAATTGACGAAATCGTTAACTTTACATTTGTCTTTTATGGAATAAATATATTTTATACTAAGATCAAGTTAGAATCTCATAAAGATGCATAAAAACTATTTATTAAACATTTTCGACTACCATTTGTAATACCAAAAATAAAGAATCTTGCTCGTAAAGTTGAGTATAAATTGACTTCTGTGATCCAATATAATTTAAACTTTGATTTGCGAAATAGACACTAACTTTGCCAATTAAACCTAATTTATTTATTAAAACAGAAATATTACTAAACGGAATTCGTGAAACCCTTGAATATAAGTGAATTAAGATCAGAGCCATAAAAAGATTTGTTATAAAAAAATCTTGTACAAATATCAAAACTAGAATGGGAGAATAAATTAAGTATATTGCACTGTATAGCTGTGGATCATGAGTCAATTAATTCGCAGAAATTCGTTCACAGAGATTTACAAGTGAAAATTTTTTGCAAGGAACTGAGTGTTAATTTTATACCAGTTTGAGATCATATAACACTTTAACACATCCTTTAATACATCAAAGTTTTATTTTTTTTCAGCAGAAATTATTAACCGAATCAATTAATGAATTACAGATTTAAGAGAAAAAAAATAGATAAATCAGTAAAGTTATATTAATACTTTCTATCCCTAAACCTTGATACTTACTCGTGGCATAACCAGATTCTCTGACTTGATGCTACAATTCAAATTTATCTAACAGGAGGAAATGTATCTGATTCAAAGTGAATCCTACACATGGTGTGATAAATTAAAACTAATATAAATAATTTCAGTTTTAATTTATTGTAATTGATCATACTATGTGTGGGATTCACTTTGGATTAAGTACGTTTTCTCTTGTTAATTCATCTATATCAACTTTTTTATTATTATTTTGTTAATTGTATTACATAAATTATATTGATACTACAGTTTTATTTATTTTTTTTTATTAGGCTTATATGACAGTAATTGGATCATGGAATGATTAATAATGCGTGATATAAGAAATAATAGTTAAGTGATTGAGAGATTGAGTGATTGAGTGATTGACCATTAGGAGGTAATTGCGATTGAACAATTGGGTAATTGCGATTGAACGATTGGGTAATTGTAATTGAATGATTGAGTAATTAAGTCATTAAGTAATTAAATGATTGACTATTAGGAAATAACTGAGTGATTGAGTGATTAACTATTAGGAGGAGATAATTAAGTGATTGAGTAATTAAACGATTAGGTAATTGAGTGATTGAACAATTAGACAATTGAGTGATTGAGTGATTGAGTAATTAAGTGATTGGGTGATTGAGTGATTGAGCGATTAAGTGATTGAGCGATTGGGCAATTTTGTAATTTGTAATTAAGTGATTGAAAACTGCATATAATATAAGTATATATTTACAAATAAAATAAAAGTATTGTTTTTTTATATACTAGTAAATAAATCTTTATAAAATTAAAAAAAAATATATAAGTAGAATCTTTTTGATTCAAAATTTTTTGTAATTAAATTTATTTAAATAATCAAAATTATAATTACAGCATTTAAGTTTTATTGAATAAATTTATTAATATACTTGTTTACAAAAACTATTAAAAAAAATCTTAGTCTAGTAGTATTACAAGCCATAATTATAAACTCTCTAATCAGATAGAAAATATTAATTATATTGAGAATTATTCTGATCCGTATTCTAGCAATTCTAATAGTGAATTTGCAATCGAAATAGAAAACTTTTCTATTCTTAATTTCGATGTTGCTATATATCAAGATATTAAGAATAAAATTTTGCAGCAAAATAGTGAAAACGAAAATGAAGATTATGATCTGAATAATGCAACAAAAGAAAATATATCATCTGAGTTTGATGAAGAAGTTGAAGAAATTATATTAGATCAAACTGTAAAAACAATAAATACATACCTTGTATCATTATAGATAATGACAATAATGAAAAAAAAATATGACGATATAACAGAATTGATGAAGGAGTTTTTAACCGACTTCTAGCTTAACTCAAAGGCACTTGAGAAGTCGACCGTAACACTATTAAACAATGAAATGAAAATCTAAATAAACTTGATATCTGTTATCAGCATTTTCTTTTTGATCAAAATCAACTGCATCATAAAAATATTTAACTATTAGAAACAGACCAAAGTATTCTCTATTATGCACAATGCATATTCTGTAATAAATATAAAACTTTTTTTATACGTGGCCAGGGATATTATAAGCATTCATAAACAGTATATGAACGCAATAATAGAGTTCTATGCTTAGGATTATGAACATGTGATGCATTACAACCTTGCCTTTTAATTTCCATTCAATAAACAAATAACATGTGATTCTTATATATCTGCTCAAAGTGTTTTGAAACTAATGGTGGCCATCTATATCAAAGATTAGATCAGGGGTTTCAAATTTCAGCTGCAATAGCAAGCACAATGATTTATCTGCAATTCTAGAAAATTTTAGAAATTGAATTTAATTAGTAGCAAAATCAGATAATAAATTACAGAAGCAAGAACTTATCTGATTATTATTGCCAACGATTAAGACATTAAAATCGGGTTTGCCAAAAGATTTAATTTATAGCCAAATAAATTCTTTTGATAAACAGGCCTTACCAACTTTATTAATAACTCAAATAGCATTTAAATTAGCAAAAATAGATTTAAGTGCTAAAGCAAAAGTGTATTTTTAGAAGAAAAAGAATACGCATACATTGGAAATCTTTTTGAAGAATCCTTGTAGCAATCTCGTATAGCACTTAAAAACAATTTGCCAACCCTAGAAAATCCACAATCTCTTGAACAATATGCTGCAGCATTGGCTCTGAACTCTGTGGTTTTTTTTAACAGTCTTGTTACAGTTTTTTTTAAAAAAAATATAAGATCGCAGAATGCTGAAAAAAATCTTATAGATCACCATCAATTCTACTAGATTTAATATTAGTTAATAGAATTACAATTTTCTTAGTATCAATTATAATTGGAATTGCTTTTCAAAAATAGAAAATTTGGTTACCTCAAGTTTTGAGCTTACTTTGTAAACATTCACATATGATTTCGAAACTTTATAAAATTCTTTATTCTGCAAATATTATTTCTTACATTTGGGATTATGAAGTTCGTACAGAAAAATGACGTATGGAATCTTCTAATCCTACTAATAGACTTGAAGTTAGAAATAATATTTATAATATGTTAATTATTGACAATATTGACATAAAAGAAAAAATATTCATGTACAGAAATATTTATGATGCTGCGCAAAAAACTACATATGCTATTCTTCGAATCGTATTCTAGTTTAAGCTTCCTCTGGACTTGCAACCAACTTCAATATTTTTTTTTGAACAATTGGATCAGGTTACCATTAGATTATCAACAGTTACAGAAAATCTAAACAGAAGTTATGATAGAATTTTTGAAAAATTACTTTTAGAAAAAATAAATAATTTTGATATTAATGATATTCATCTAAAAGTTATAGAAAATATTTGAATTGGATGCAAATTTGATAAGCCAAAGATAATAATTCTAGATCTTGGACTAGCACCAAATTTTAATAAGAATATATAAAACATGTAATATGTTTTTGAATGATGTAGCAAACACAGAAGCTACCACGATCGATATTGTATGTGATGAAGCTATTTTTCAAAGGCTTAAAAATTACAAAAATGAAAACCTTACTGCTAATATTATTCTTGGACAATAGCATACTTCAAAAGACATGTAATAGGCTTTAATTACCACTTTTTCTGAATACAGAATTTTTAACATGTCAGTACTACTTGGTGTTCGATATTTGGAAAATTTAGAAAAGGTTCAGATTATCATGTGATTGTATGGTTCTTGAATTAATCTGGGCAGCGGTTGGAATTACGATTCATCGCTATCTAAAAAGTAATAAAATGACTATTAATGATATTAAAAATAGTTCTAACAATATTTTAAAAGTTTAGTTTAATTTTTATTGGTAGGCTGGTTATTGGAAAGCTCATAAAATTGGTATTTGAAGAGGAGATTTTTATTTGCAAATTGCATGTCTTGCTGCATTTGCATCTCTTTTTCTAGTTACTAGCAAGTTTAGATACGTAAAGTCAGTTGCAATTTTTTAGAAAGATTGTATAAAAATCCTCAACTTCAAAAAAGATTAAATCAAGTACCATCTATCAATATTACACGTGAAGGACATTATCTAGCATATAATGAAGTGCTAGAAACATATAGTGTTAAGGTTATTAAACAAGTAATAACAAAAAAGTCTGAAGATGATGAAAACTTATATCGATAAATAAAAAAAAGTCAAGATGAAATTGAATGATTATCAGTTCTTGATGAATTTATTAATACTGTAATAAATATTAATGACCGTCCTGCACCAGATCGATATAAGCAATTGTGGACTTTAAGTAATCAAATTTATGCCGTATTTCAAAATCTAAACCCTAATAGTCATTCTCTTTTTGAATATATAACACAAAATACTTCAAAAGGATACTCTAATATAGAAACTTGTTATCAACATGGAATAGAACGAATGCAAGATCTACTTGTACAAGAGGTCTATTTAATTAGAAAGAAAAATTCAAAAGGAAGAGCAAATAAAAATTTAGTTAAAGATACTGTAACAAATTTTAAATAACGACAAAAAATTCAAAAAAGAAAGCGAAAAAATGATGCATCTGAAAATGATTAATCTGAAAATAATGAATCTACAGATTAATAATTATTTTAACTTACATAAATTAAAGAACTTTGGTCTTATATTTAACATATTTCTATTTTTTTGTAATAAAAAAAAATGTTTCAATTTTTAATAAAAAAAAATATATATTTGAACAAGTTTCAAATTAGAAGTCTACAAATATCTATACCAGACACTAGTGTCTTGTGCTGTGTTTGTGCTATAGTTACAAAAGCACCAAAAGCACTAAACACTATTACCATTAGCTACTTTCCAAAAATCACAGGTAGAACAATAAACTTTTTCACAAGTATTTTTTCAAAATATTTGGTGCGATATGCAACTTTTCCAAATATTTTCCTTATTATCGAAATTCTTCTGTATCTTTTTCACATATTATATAAAAGATTAGAAAATACTTAGAAGATATTCAGAAAAGTTGTATATCACACCAAGGATTTTTGAAAGAATACGTGTTGAAAAGGTTTATTGTTCTACCTGTGAATAGTATCCTGCTACATAATATACTCTCTTCTCTGAGATTACAAGATTTATGAATAATACCCGATACTATTTAATTTTAAAAATAAAGTTCTTGAAAAAGATCCCAGGTACTGTATACAGTGGCCAACGGTATGAGTACTAAAGTGATAACTCGTGCTTGGCATTTTACATTTGCACTTACAAACTTTTTAGCTAAATTTTTGTATCTGTGTTTATACTTGTACCAATTCATGCCAAGTTCTTGTCTGTGCCTATGTTCATGTCTCAGATGTATAATAAAAGATAAAAATATTTTAAAAAAAGCTTTTTACAAGTGCAGAAACGAATTATACTTGAAATCCACTTACTATAAAATAGGGTTTCTAATTTTCTCCACTATGCTTATAATGCATCTGTATTTCGAAGATGCATTTTGGCAAAAGTTCTCACTCAAATGCACCTAGTAAACCACTTTTTTTGTGAAAAACTTGAAAGCTTAAAAAGAATCTTGCAATAATATATAAAATAATTGCCTATATTTGAAGACATATTACTTTACAATAAAAAGTTTATTTTTTATATTTTTTATATTGTTTGATTCGTTAAAATCTCTGGAACAATTTTTTTGTATTAAAGTATATAGTATACTAATACAATTTTATTAAAAATTTAAAAAATATAACTTTGTCGATTTGTATAACTTATAAAATCATGTGATAAAAATTTTGATGTGACAAATCATGTGACTAATAAAGAGAAAATTAAAATAGTGATCTATTGCCATGACAACCCCTATATGATCAGCCAATCATTTTTAAAATTGGCGATCATATATAAACAGGAATTATAGTTTATTTTTGTTTATTTTAGGGGGTTTTTTTTGTATTATTTCATTTTTGTTTCGCTATTTAACTTTTGCTCTACTTCAGGATCAGATCAGATGTATGCTTCTAATTTTTTTAGGTAGTTTTTTTTTTTTTTTTATTAAAATTAACTTCTTTCGTTGATTTTTTTTATTTTTTCGTTTTTTTTGTATTCGTCGTTTTGTTTTTGTTTTTGTTGTCTTACTATTTGACTTTCGCTCAACTTATTTTTTAGATTGATTTTTTTTATTAAAATTAACATTTTTTTCTTTCGCTTTTTTTTTATTCACTTTTATTTTTTTTTTGTTTTTCTCTGTTTTTTTTTATTTTTTTGGTACCTTTATTTTTTTTCTTCTTTTTTTTTGCTCTTTTTCTTCCACTTTATTCTTTGCCTTCTTTATTTCAATTTTTTTTCTTTTTCTTTCGCTCTTTTCAACTTCTTTTCTTTACTTTTTTTCTTTTTATTTACTCTTCATTTTTT